GCTCTCGAGGAGTCGTTTGTTTCTTGGAGGATTCCTTCAATTTTAAGCATCCTATCTCGCAAGGACAGGTCGCATGCTTGAAGCGACACCCAAGTCTTTGATCGCATATGCGCAGAATACGCATCCTGGAGGCTGGACAAGGGTGACCCGGGGAGTCCCGCGGCAATCTCGGCGGAGAGAATCTGAAGCGGGTGACGGACGAGCGGCGGGAATGTCTGGTTGAGTAACAGCACGGCTTCCACAACGAAACTTTTCCATCCTTCCTTGACTTGAATTATTGCAGTCAGGAAATCATGAAATCTCTCCAATTCCCTCCCCGACTGGTGCCGAACTTGACTAAAAACTCCAGTTCATCTTCATGTTCAGTGAGAAGTTTGAAAGTGCTCACGGTAACGAACGAACCAGTTCCAAAAGTATTAGACGCGCTTCTTGCCGGGGCCATTTGCACAGAGACACCACTATCATGTGTCGAGAAAATTCTGGGCCTGCGCAAATCTGTGCTAGCGCGAGGCGAATCGCCCCCTTTGCAATTCGAACCGAGTAAAGAGCAGGTCTAAGTAACAGTTCCCATTAACGGCGTTGATTACGTCAGGAACCAAGCAGCTGCATCACCCACCGGCAGAATTCCACCAAGTCGTTACACATTGAGCTCGACAGGTTGCCAGGTGTTCTCAGTCGGATAGCTGAGATTTTCCGTCGAATCAAGAGTGCATCGATTCCACGAAGTGTTACTTCTCCGAGGGCTAGTATAGCCCTGCCGGAGAGCGTGCCGGGACCCCACACAGTAGAAGTGTCCGTGAACGTTCGCTGCGATGACCTCTCGGATATCTCATTTGAAGACTGGGGAGTGTCGACGCGGCTCAAGGTCTGTACTAGGGACATGGAGAAGGACGAAGGTCGTGGGTCCAGATAGAACTCGAAGGTATTCATATGTCGGGCATGGACTCGGAGGGAAAGCTACCCGGCCTGATACATGATGAATTCAGCGTCCTTCAAGTCGTAGGCAGCGATGCCAACACAATCTACAGCTTTCGTAGATGTAATGACAGATATTCTTCCGACTGCTGTTAAGCGCTCGACATCTTCGTTGCTATGCAGAGCGAAAAGATACGAGAGATGAAGTGTATTGATTGTTTCTGGTAACAGTATCAGAAGCTGTTCCGTCCCAGAACTCTACCCTTTTGTAGTCCTGCTGTCACCGTTGTGTACCGTCAACAGGATTCAGCGATATGATCGGCAACACATACCGAACTTATCGCCCTCGTTATTTGCTTTCCTCCTTGCTCTCATGCTCATCCTTCGGAGGTTCAGAAGCCTATCGAATTGGGTAATGGAGATGAGTTTCGGTCGATGCGTCATACATACAACTCACAGCGTCAGAGGAGGAGGAGTCAGACGTCTGTGCGAGGATTAAGAGTGAATGCACACGATAACATGATATGCTTACCGCGTCAGCCGCCTGAGGAACATCCGCGGCCTGAAGTGGCTATATATTAGCGAAACACAGGCAGCACGCTACTTGGACATATTACCGTAGCAGCGTCGACTGAGCTAGAGACATCCGCCTCCGTCCCTTCGTCATCCTTCACCACTGCCGGGGCAGCATGGTCCTCATGCGCTTCTGCGTGGGCCGCATGCGAATCATGCGAGTCATGTCCATGGTGGCCCGCAGCGATCCTCTGCTTGATAGCCATGGTGTCCTTCAGCAAGTATGCTAGCTTTGATGACGCGACTCAGTTCATTGCGTCAAACCCTACCGCAGGCAGCTCACCGCTGGGCCGGCGATGGCGACGGCGCCAATCTGAAGGGCTTTCAAGTCAGTATTGACTCTCGGCGCGAGTGAGTGCCTCACAATCCACGGCAGGTCGGATTTCGGTTTGAACGGTTCATGGTGAGCGGCCGCGTCGGCGCTCATGAAACGCCTGGGCAGGTGCACATTTGAGCGGGCGGTCCGAGTGGCGCGAACGGTGGTCGAGAAAGCCTGTCGGCCCACACGAGATGCCATGGTTGGGTTCAAGAGCAAAGAGGTATCACGCAAAGTCGGCAAACAATGGACGTCACACAGGCAGATCTAGAACGACTGCAGACCGGTCGGGACTACAATTTGAAGACAGCAAACATCGCATCCACTAATACTCCCAGTCCAAGCCAGTTTTCGACAAATACACCAGCCCCATCGCAGCTTGGAACGGATCACTCATTGCCAAATTCTCGTCGAGCAGCCGCTCACAAACTGTTTCATCCACCTTTACGCCTCCTTCTCGATTATGGAAATCAGCTAGAATGCTCAGGTGCTTGAGAGACGCCTTCTGCAGGTCGAACGCACTGTCATTACGCGGAATAATCGGTGATGTATCTCCTCGCGTATGGGGAGTTAAATTGAGCATCTAAAAGCAACGTCAACGAAGGAAACGACGGGGCACAACACGAATTGTTACGCTGCTAAACAGGACCTTCTCGTCGATGGCGGTGTCAAATGAGGTGGAGGTGGACGGAGGGTCGGGCTGCTCGAAATCATGTTCGGGCATGTAAAATCGCAAGGCGGAGGGCGAAATCATCGGGTTGGTGTGCTGAGATTGCTCCTTGGAGAATGGAGATTCGAAAGGCGATTGCAAGATGGGGGTCTTGAGCAGGACAGTGCTGGGTGTAGTTTGGTAAGGAGTCTGTTGATTTCGGAGAAAGGGCGTCGTGCGGAGTACTGCGGCGGGAGTGACTGCCATATTGCTAGATGGGTGCGAAGAAGCTGAAGCCATGCCCAAGGCGTGAGATGCAGGAGTAAAAGGAACAAACAACGCGTTGGGGGTGACTGTAGAAACGTATGTGGGTGGGTTGCTGGTAGGATTTATGCCCCAAGTGTTTATCGGGTGATCATGCACCTGGCTGTAAACGGGTTGAGGGGCAGGGCTTATGTTCTCTGACGGGCGAGGGAGGAGCATCGGGCCACTGGAATAGGGTTTTTGATAATAAGCTGTCGCGGAGGGTTGAGGATTCGATCTAGAAGGCCTTTGCTGCTCAGGGTTACGAGTGGGAACAGGATGTGGAAGATATCTTGGATCCGTGGAAGAAGAACCATGATAAACATATCCATGCGACGGCATCTGCGGAACAAGAGGATTGCGTACGGGTTTGAGCTGGACAGAGACTGAGCTAGAGGCAAACGAGTTTTCGGCTGTAGGAGCTGGAGCATGAGCTGGGGGCTTGGCGGGTTTACTTGGAGGCAAGTAGGAGTTGTCTGGTGGAGGCAATTTGCTGCTTCTGGGTGGCGGATTGGCGGAGGAAGCTTCTATCCCTTGTGGCCTTCGGCCAACCGGGTGCATGCGTGCTTGGTCGCCGTTGGAGGTAGACGCGTCGCCTACCGGCTGCTTAGCCTCACGCCCCACATGCATCTCCGTGCGCTGGACCTCGTCAACGGCGCATCCTTCGTCATCAACAGTCATAGTTGTAGACGCGCTAACCAACGGCGGGATCCCGGGACCTGCAGCCGACCCCTCATTGTCCAGGGTTGTGAGACGAGCTAGTGTAGCTGAAGGTTCTTTGCGAGTGCGTGCCCGTTTTTTCGGCGGCACGTCGTCTTCGCTAGCCTCACCCTCTTTCGGCTGGCGCGCTGCCTCGTCTCGGACCTTCTTTCTGTGCCGCACAAACCACGACCTGATCCACGGAGGGGTGCTGCAGACCGATTCAGATGACGATTAGGTCGGGCACTGGTGCGTACAGGCCAGTTTCGGAGCTCAGTCTTTCGCATTCTTCGGCGCTTATCAAGTCACCTGCATCGTACGCAGCTCGCAAGACCGCAACCTGCTCGACAGTTGCACGAACGCCTGCGTAGGATCAGCCTCTGCGCACACCAAACAGTAAACTTCTCAGGATATCCACCTGGATTTTTCTTTCTTTTTTTTGAAGCGTCCGTGTCAGTCATCTCGGTATTTGGGTGCGACATGTCGTGCCGGAGGTTCTATTCCAGGTCTGTGAAGGCGGCCAGCAAGCCTGAGCTCGTCGTTCGTCCGTCCAGTGATGTAATCGATCAAACAACAGCAAAGATCAGATACATAGGGCTATCCAAACGTTCAATTAGTACTGGTAATTTCAGACCCAATGGTCGGTCATTCCTCTCACATCCAGCCAAATCCTTAAATCAGCCTGAAGTCCACAGGACTGAGGATTCGCTCAGGTTGGCCCTGAACCGCCCATAAAATGTTGTCTGGTAAACTGATGGTTACGTGCAGCCACGTTCTGTGTGAATGTACCGCTTCCTGGGAGGTTTCTGGGAAATACCTGAGACTTTAAATACATTGTAGCTTCATTCTTCAGCTCTGTGCACTTGCGAATCGATTTTATTTATTTAAAAAAACACCACGTGACATCGGTTTTCAACGCCGGCGACCCAATAAGGTAAATTTGATGGCCCGTTCGACTCACAGATCCTGTCAAGATTTGTGGATGGTCCTGCTTTCAAATCATGCGTTGCCGGGATGCATTCCACTCGTAATATCGAAGGCGATTCTCTGGGAATGAAATCAGAAAGAGGATACACCCATCGTAAGGGTCGAACACAAGGCATGTACAACTTGCGGACTGGGAGGGACTTGTGAATTGTTCTGCTCTTCAAATCGTACGTTTCCGGGCTGAATTTCCACTAGAATCTCGATGGCTATACACTGGAAATAAAATCTTCGCGAAAAGAGAACATCCAAGGCGCGAGCATCAGACATGTTTTCAACTTCCGGACTGTTGAGGGATTCGCGACCAGCCTGTTTTTAAAATCTCACGTTTCCGGGGTGCTTTGTAATCAGAATTCCGATGGTTATCCACAGGAAATGAAGTCGAGGCAACAGAAACACCATCTAGCCACTGTGAGTGTCGAACATGGCAGTTTCAACTCGGGGATTGACGAGGGAATTCAGGGACATACTCCTTTCCAAATCTCATGATTCGGGGGTGTATTTGAACCAAATTTCACTGGCTATCCACCGGAAATAAAATGGAGGCCAAAAAGAAGCGATAGCCCACCGCGAGGGTCGAACTCGCAGCCTTCAGATTAACTCTTTACGCAAGGAACCCCCGAAAAACAGGCTTTTGTAAAAGTCTGACGCTCTATCCGATTGAGCTAGGCGGGCGTTACGTCTTCCTGAAGCGAGGGAATCAGAGGGAATGAGAGGGCGGATGAATTCCCGCCGAATGAGCATAAAAACTTGATAATTGAATAACAAACGGCCGAGATATGACGGAAATGGCGCGCAGGATGAAAGGGAGTGCAAATTAAACAGGTGTAATTCCGCATCTGTGGACTCGAGTTTAAAGCTGAAGATTTAATGGCAAATGACCGAGCCATAAGGCCTTAAAATGTCAATATCGATGTGGGAGATTCGGGTAACGGTACCTGAGCTTGTCTATTTTCGGGCTTCGACAGTCGACAAGCTGGCATGTCGTAAATATTATTCCTGGGTTTTATATGCTTAGAGACTCCAGGAGTTGGGGTAGTCACTCCAGATCGTCTCTTGGTCGGCGCCAGAGGAATCCCGCAGTGTCGCGATGCAGGGATGAAGCAAGGTGAAGATCTGCTCTAAACGTGCGCAAACTGCTGACTAATCGGCCCGAATGCTGCCGGATCCATCTCAGAGTCCCAGACTGGGATGTGAACATCCAATTCGTGTTTCGTAATTTAACCAGGTGTCGGCTGCGCCGCCTAAGACCTCACTTGGACATAGGTATGGATCTCCGAAAATGTCTGTATTCATCAAGTTGTCACAGAATAGATTCCGATTTAGTGGAGAATTTTTCTAAGGAATGAATCAAGAATGAATTCTAGATGTATAATTCTTAAATACAGGCAGAGCGCGGCGCGCCGATGCACGGCCATAATTGACCTGAATGTGTGTGAGGGAGTTGAGCTACAGGCGTCATTTCTCCCGCTTCTCGACGCGCCGGACAGCACCCTGGAGGAGCGCGCGTGCTGCGTACTTATAAACAGGCAGAATATGTAAAATCTGAGTCCTTTTTTAATAAAAGAGGACTCGGCAAGTCTCAGAAGAGTTTTGCCTGGTGCGCAAGAGACTTGAAGCATGAAGGCTTGTGGATATGGGCAATTTGAGGCAATTTGGTGGTTGTCACGGTCAGTGAGAAAGAAATTTTGTATCTATTTGTTCCTAGCTGAGGCGCATTTTTGCCCTGCATGGTCACTGGACTCTTTGTTTCTGGCAGGTTTCGGAGGTATAATTTTGACGGTGGGGGACCTCAACAAGTGAGGTAATACGACTTTCAAGAGCAGCTTGCGGGGACATACCTGCAAGTTCAGGAATTTAGTTATTTTGGAATCTGGATTTCCTACGTGAACGCAAGGTGTGCGGCTATGGTTGCAATTCCATTCGCCTCTTGACTTGGGGAATAAAGTTGACGTAGTACATGCTTCCCTATCTCGCGTATCCGCGCCCACTGCCAGCAGGATGATTGGAACAGATGAGTGTGGTCAAAAACACGTTTCGTGCGGCGTGATGACCGTTCTAGCGCCCGCACGTGACCATGAGTTGAACAGCCATCAAAAGTCACAGGCAGCTCAATCCGCGACGTCCGCCTTGCCTTCGCCCTGTTGTCGTGCCGCGTACTGCCATGGACCTCCCTCATCCTCATGAGGGCTCTACTGACGTCTTCTCGCTCTCCGACCAAGGTAATCTTTCGCGCGTGTCCTAGACTCACAGACTCACCCTTACCCTCATTAGTCTTGTCAGACAAGTTGCAGTTTGTCGAGGAGATTGGGTTCGGCAACTGGGGAAGCGTCTGGCTGTGCCGACCAAAGGAGGACCCCGACTCTCCCTCCGCCGACGGTCTTGTCAAACTGCAGGAAACCAAGATCGCAGTCAAGCTCGTGCACCGATCCAAGACTTCCACGACTGCCGCACGCGTTAGATCGCTGTAAGTGGCTTCATCGATACCTCTGCCACCTATTCATCGTCTTCTGCGTGCGTAGCTGGAATGAAATGAAGATCGTGCGGTCATTCAAGTCGGATCCACACCCGTCGATCATCCCGTTTCATTCCTTCATCATCACTCCCTCCTACGCGTTGATTACAATGTGAGTGCCACAAACCATCATAACTCTTCTCAGTGAGCCGTCTCGGAGCGTTTGACGCGTCCATTTTTCCTCCATCGCGTATCGACACAACTTGTTTGTCTTTGATCACTAACATTCCTTTTGGCTAGGGCGTTCCTTCCAACACTCGTACCAGTCGAGGTGGACGAAGCCAAGGCTTGTGAATGGTTCCGGTTTCTTCTCTCAGGCGTGGAATTCCTCCACAAACGCGGTGTCGTCCACAATGACATCAAGTGTGTCCATGTTATCACAATCGGGTCGTCGCCTCTAATCGTTCCCCAGGCCCGCCAATATCCTGCTCTCTAACAAGAATATCCCTGTTCTTGTTGACTTTGGCTTTGCTGAGAAGTATGACATGAAGTCTGGGACTGCTTTCCATAGTAACCTGTCTTATGGTACCCCAGAGGCAAGTCGTGTTTGCTCCTGGTTCGCTGTGGTTCCTGACTTGCACATAGTACCTATCTCCTGAGCGTGCCCGCGGTCTTCCCCATGACACAAGGAAGTCCGACGTGTGGTCTCTTGGCATCACATTCTTTGAGATACTGATTGGTCGGACACCGTTCGAGCATTCGGACACTGAGCAGTTCTCCACCAAAGAAGACCTCGAGAAGTACTGGGCGCGAACGGTCAGTCTAACCTTTTATCTCATGCCATACGCTCATTTCTCCACTTAGCTTCGTGGGAAGTGGGTTGGTAGCTGGAAGATGTCCAAAGCCATCGAGAAGCTGCTTCGCAGGATGATCTCCCCCAATGCCGACTTACGCTGCACCGCTTCAGACGCCATGAACGACGTCTACTGGCGTCAACTCAAGGAACCTGCCGCCTTGCACAGTGAGAAAGGATGGCACTCATCAAGTTGATTGGACTAATTACCGGCCCAGGACGATCCTCCAGTTACACGTCGTCCGTCGTTTTCGAGAAGGACACGTCGAAACTCGGGAACATCGTATCCCCTTGGTCTGCCAGCGCCAAAGAGAATCTTTCGCCCCCCGGTCTCGAGTCAAGCCCCAGCTTTTCGAAGGACGCCGACAGCCTCCACCGTAGCATTACTAAGTCCAGGTCGCAGCCGAAGGTTACTAATTCCAAGAGTAAGCCATAAATGCGTCTTGATACGTGTTATGAAGGCTCATCGAACCGTCAGTCCAAGTGCAGGCACGGAAGCGCGTCCCCGCCCCCCCTGTCGTCGATCTTTCGCCCATCAAAGGCTCTCCGCCCTCGTCGCCGCCCGCCGCCTCGGCCAAGCAGAACGTGATGTCCCTGGCGTCCGCTACCGCCTCCGCGAACCCACGCAAGCCTCTGGCAGTGCTTAGCCCGCGCACCCGCGAAAACCTGCCCCAGGCCCCGCAGTCGGTGGCAGAAAGCGCGAAGGATGCGCGCAAGGTCCGACCGTTGGCTGAGCTCACCGCCAACCGGAACGCCAAGGAGCGCGGTAAGCGCGATTCTGTCAAGGACCGTGTGCGGGAGTGGGAGCGGGAGAAGGAGCGGCTAAGGGAGATGGAGCGCCTAGACGAGCTTGAGCGCGATCGGGATGCGCAGTTTGAGGAGGAGCGGGAGCGCGCTGCGCGACAGCAGAAAGCGTTTGCTGCCAGGGAGCGTGAACACGACAAAGAGAACGAGAGTGCCGATATGTCTGCCGTTCTTTCTCCTCCACGTCCGGTGGCCCCGCCGCCCACACCTGGTAAGCGGAAGGACAATCTGTTGTTTTCTCTGCTCATTTCTGCGCAGAAGTACAAACCCAAGTGTCCTCGCCAGCTATTAGCCCGGCGCCCAGCACCAGCTTTGCAATCAACAGCTTCAAGCATAGTGTTAAACTGTCATTCGGTACGGCCGTACCACACCATCTTTGACTTTGACCATGGCGCTGATGGATGTACCACAGACAAGACTCTTCAATTTTACAAAAACACCACGCTAGCGCAGGGCGCCAGCCGCAATGTTTCTTCTCGGACCTTGTCCGCCGAGCTGCAGGACGACACTGTATCTCGTCGCAGCCCAAGCCTGCGCCGTGAATCGTGGGAGGACGAGGCACTTGAACGTGATGGTGTGTACTGCATGCTTTTTCACTCTTCTATGCGCTTTATCTGGCTTCTCCAGCCAAGTCTTCTCTGCCTGTCGTTAGGCACGCAGTTCATAACGAGCGAGTAGCAGCGGACAATCGAATGGACCGCATGGCCATCTGGATGCGCAACGTTGAACGTACGTGGCTCCTGTTAGAGATCTTCCACTTTCCTGATGTTTTTCTCCACTTTGCAGAAGTCGTCGAGGATGCGCGTCAAAACTTTGCTTCGTCGTCCAAGGAAGTAACGCCACTCCCCCCGCTCCCGCTGGCGCCTCTTTCTCGTGCAACATCTCAGACAAACACCTATCGTTCGTCCCGGCTGCCGCGCAAAGTCCTTGCTGCCAGCCAGATCTTCGCCGACCCAGCGGACTCTAGCCAAAACATGTCCTCGATGCACGCCGCCGCGAATTCCACCGTAGCGAACGCGGATTTCAGTGAGGGCACAAGCCAGATTCTGACTGAGCTGCATACCCCGACTCGGCCGCGCCGCGCGACTGTCAGCGCGCGGTCCCCCGAGCCCGCGGACGCGGCTTTCGACATTGACGTCGAGACTGGATCTCCGTCGAAGCGAAAGGAAAAGAGCAGGTCTCATGCGGACCTTCTCCAGCGCCGCATCACGCCCGTCGCGCTCCTCGAATTGGAAATCGCTAAACGTAAGGATGTCTGCTCGTTAGCATTGATATAAATGCTAACCCTCCTATGCAGCAATTGTTCCCTTGCCTTCTCCTCGACTTTCCGATGTCCTAGACCGCAGCCTTTTCATCGCGTCTCCCACTCGGGGAGTCGAGGAAGACAGATCGAATACTGCTGTCGAGCGGTCATTCGACGAGCTCACGTCGTCCCCCTTCCACGTGGAACCTTATCCCGCCAGGAAACCCAGCGCGGCAGATGTCTCTGCCCCTGATACCCCGTCGCAACGCCGTTTGGAGGGCGTCTACGATCGATTTTTAATGGCGACGACGGGTGTCAAG